ATATAATTATTTATAAAAATAATCAAACCTCAACTCTTGTTCTCCAAGGGGCTCTCTCCATCCTGGGGTTCACTGCTCTCTTCTTATATTCAAGTCCCTTGGGTATGGTGTAAAGGGATGGGCCACGTGGTCTTCCTCCTTCATTATAAATCACAGAGACAATTGCTCCACAAGCAACAGACTCTGGTCATGTCAGGAATTCAACAAACCTAAGCCTCAGTTTGTTCACCTGTAAAGTGGGAGAATACCTATTGCCCCTTCCCACTTTGCAAAGCAACCATGAAATCTAAAGGAAGTAAGAGAGGGGTGAGTACTGTTGAGTGTACCGGCGTATGGCTAAGAATTCACGACATCCAGTCACAGTAACAACACGGGCCTTGTTAATGGCCTTTGTCACAACAGCTTATGTTTTTAATTGACAAGTAAAAACTGTTTATGGTATACCACTTGATGTTTTGAAATAGGTATGCTTTGTAAAATGGCTACATTAAGCTAATATATGTGAATTATTTGCTCATGGTGAGAATGTTTAAAGTCTACTGGCTCTGCGATGCTTAGTCTACAGCAGTTGTTCCCCAACCAGGGCCACCATGTTCAATCCCTCTCCTGAGCTTAATCTTCCTAACTGAAACATTGTATCCCATGCCCTCACCTTCCCAGTTCCTCTCCCCACCCATCTCCCCCTCCTCCCGACCCCCTCTCACTCTCTCAGCTGTATTTTTCATAGCAGATTTTCCTCTTTGGAATGTCTATATTTCAAATTTTAGAGTTTTTCAAAAAACTTCCTTTTTTGGAACACTCATAAAATGATGTCATGTGCTTGGGGAGGAAGCCACCAGAGGGCGCTAGATCACTTAGGGAGTCACCCCTTGGCTACTCCATGGCAAAACCTGGGAGATGTATGTGGAAGAGTACTGGGTTTTGGGTCCAGGTGGCAGAAAAATGGAATTCACTGTCCATTAATCGCAGTGCTGGGCCAGGATTTCAGTAAATGTTCTTGTTGGCTGTGGTTCATCCTGTTTTGTTTTTTTGTTTTTAGTTTGTATGTTTATGTACTTCCTTTTACTTCTTTTAAGTCAGTAGGAGTTGTCTAGATTAGAAGACTTCAGAAACATGAGCTCTCTGGGTTGCTTCGAATGCCAGCATAGACCTAGACACAGGTGCACATGGTAAAGCAGCTGCCCTCCCTCTGAGATTTGGAAATGAGTGAGTGGCCCGTATTGTTTTCAGAACAGAGGGTGGCTTTTCTGCTTTCATTTAGTCTTTACGCTTTTGTGCAGTGCACTCAAGTGCCAGCCTGTAGAGCACCTGTACTAGGTGAAGATACATAGGTTCCGTAGGTGCTGCTCCACTCTAGCTACTTCTGAGGCCATAGGGGCGTGGCAGGACCGTGAGTAGGCAGGATGGCAGGGGTCTGTCCACAGCCTGGCTGTCCTGGGGAGCCCCCGGGCTGCAGTGCAATGGCCGTGGTAGAGAGTAGGAGCAATTGCTTTGCCTCAGTTCTCGTGGGTGCAGATCAGAACAGGGACAGGGAGCCGCAATCCTGTCTCTTTTTACTTTCTGCAGGGCACTGTGCACCCACAACCATGACTGGCCTTGGGGCCACAAGACCTGGTCCCAGTCTGACTCTCCCAATGTTGGGGTCAGAGTACTGACAAGATTTGAGTTTTCTGTTTCATCCTTACCCATAACCACATGACGTGGGCAAGGGAGCTCCCATTTTTTTCCAGTTTTACAAACAGGGAAACCCAATGAATGAAAGATCACCACAGATCCTTTTAATAATGAGGTCCCAGGGGGTCAGCGCCATGGCTCACTAGGTTAATCCTCTGCCTGCGGCATCGGCATCCTATATGGGTGCCGGGTTCTAGTCCCGGTAGCTCCTCTTCCAGTCCAGCTCCCCGCTGTGGCCCAGGAAGGCGATGGAGGATGGCCCAAGTGCTTGGGCCCTGCACCTGCATGGGAGACCAGGAAGAAGCACCTGGCTCCTGGCTTCAGATTGGCATAGCTCTGGCCGTAGCGGCCATTTGGGGGGTGAACCAATGGAAGGAAGACTTTTCTCTCTGTCTCTCCCTCTCACTGTCTAACTCTATCTGTCAAAAAAAAAAAAAAAAAAAAAAAAAGAATGAGGTTCCATTTGTGTCTGTACACAGATTGGTAAGGCCAAGTGCCAAGTTCTCTGAACATGGCACAGAGCTGGGCCAAGGCCTGAATATGGCTATTTCTGGTGGGTGGTGTCACTCTCATTAAATGCCTACCAGCCAGGCCATGCAGAAAGGTGGTGAGAGACCAGGGATTGGGGAATGGAGGGATGCTGATTTTGACATTGAGGGTCTCTGAAGAATCCCAACTAAGCTGAGGTTCCGGATAACATGGAATTTGCTAGATATTTTGATCAGCAAGGGCAGGGGGAAGGAGGGAGGGAGGGAGAGAGGGAGAAAGAGAGAGGGAGAGGGAGAGAACAGGCAGATGATGTCTGATGGCCCTTCCAGCACCCTCTCCAAGCGTGCTGAGAGCTGGGATCTCTGCACTGGAGTGGTGGAAGTCACAGCAGCCAGTGGCCGCTGCCTCCAGCCCCCATCCCCGCATTTCAGGGGAAGCCAGGCTGTAGTGGATGCCTCGGAAGGTCCTGGGGTGGGGGCTTCTTGGTTTGCAGAAGTTCAGTTTTGTGGGTGGGGAACTCCTCTCTGGAAGCTGCATGTCCCACTGAAAAGATAGCTCTGTTCTGTGTTGCTTTATTTAAAAAACATGTTATGAGTATTTCATTTCTAAGTTTGGAGCCGTGCATTTGTTGTAAGGCAAGTCCTTCATTTCCCTGGCATATGTGTTGAGGCACTTAGGCAGCAAATGCACAAAGGAGTGCTAAGGCCACTGCCACCTTCTTGCTCATCCCCATGGTAGCGCTGGCACCAGTTCCCCCCAGCCCAGTGCTGGAAGACACAGGAACCTTGTATGTGTGTGTGTGGGGGGGGAGGGAACTCACACAGCAGGGGTGGTCTTCAGAGTGGCTGCTGTACCCAGAGGTCAAGGCCGGCATGGCCACTGGCGGTGCCACCAGATGGCACAGAGGTAAACCCAGACAGGTCCACTTTTCTGGAAAATGCTTCCTGCAGCTCCCTTTGACACAGGCTCCAGAACTCTCACCCCTGTCCTGACTGCAACCTGACTCTTTGGCCATGGCTGGGGGACTCCAAGCTCAGTGAATGTGTTCCCAATGGAGCCCGGCCTCCCTGCCCCGCTGGGCCTCCCTGGTGGGGTCTCCTCCCCTGTATCCCCAGGCCTCCAAGGTCAAGGGGAGGGCTGATCTCCCACTCAGGCGGACCCAGCCTAGAAGTAAAGGATGCTGACTCGGGTCTTTACTGCGGGCAGAGCTGAAAGGAAGCTGAAAATGCCAATTAGGGTTAAACTAAGGAGCTGCAAACTTCGGGGGAAACCACCAGACAGGAGGGGAGAGCTGATCCTTTTCCTTCTAGTGAGCACTGGAAGAGCCCGAGGTCCAGCCGGTGGCAGGGGAGGGACGGTGTCCGGAGAGGGCAGCGTCTCTTCTAGTGTCAGAAGCAGGCTTCCCCTGGTGGAGCTCGGGGCGAGGCAGGTGCACAAGCCCAGGGCCTGCCTTCCTCATGACGAGAGGAGGGAGCAGTGAGGCCCCTAGGTGGGTCCCAGCGGTCCTCCTCTCACAAGGGAGAGATGCAGTCTGACACCGGGTCAAAAGGGGCGACTCTTTAGGGAACCCTGTTGTCCCTCGGAGTCCGCACCACCCCAGGCGCCGCGGCTCCTGGGTCATCTCCGCCCGCTCTCTTAGGCGGCCTCTGTAGCTTAATGGGGAAACGGGGGAAAACCCAACTGCTGCTGTGGAAGCAGCCACCGCCCCCTGCCAGCCTCCCAGACAGCCCTACCCTGGGGCCGCTCGCCAGGCACAGGGGCAGGTGAGAGATCAACTGGGGATCGTAGGTGTGTGTGTCGCGGTCGCGGGGTGGGGTCCTCCTCCCTCCCGAAGCCCGTGGGTCTGTGGCATCGAGTTGACAGCCGGCCCCTCCTCCCCTCCCTACGGGAGGCTCTTTTGGGGGGAAACAGAAAAACAAAAAGGAGACGGCCTGCCTTGGAGAAACGGCGCTCGGCTGGGGGCGCAGCACCTTGGAGAGAGGCGCCGGCCACGCGCCTGGGCTGGGGGCGCTCCACCCCGCGGCCTGGGGGTCGGGGGTGCGTGGCGGGCCGCGGCCGAGGGGCCTGCTTGCTCCTGCCCAGCCCGGGAACAGGCGAGCCTCCTCCCCTCCCGCCTCGGGCGGCCTGAGCCCGTGCCCGCTCCAGTTGCTGCAGCTGCCGCTGCTGGCGGCAGCGGGGAGCGCGGGGCGCGCGCCGAAGAGGCTCAGGCGGCGAGGACGGGGACGAGGAGGAGCCGGAGGAGGCGACGAGGAAGAGCGAGCGGAGGCCCAGGAGGCCCGGCGGCGTGGCGACGCGCCTCGGGGGTCCCGGGAGCAGGGGCCGGCGGGCGGCAGCGGCCGGGTGAACCTGCCGCGGCCGGGCGCGCCCAGGGGCGGCGAGCGGGAGCCGAGCGCGACCGGGGGAGGCGGGCTGGCGCGAGGGCTCCCGGGCCGAGGAGGCTTATGATCCATTTTTCACGAGTTGCCGCCTAAGAAGCCCAGAGCTGCTGGCGAGAGGTGCGGGAGGAGCGCGGGGAGGGGGTCCCGTGCCGGGGCGCAGCGCAGCGCACACACGCGTGGCGCACGGCGCGGCGCCGCCGAGGGCACCCGGGCCCGCGCGCGGAGCCGGGGCGGGCCCGGGGGGCGGCGGCGCAGACCCCGGGCGCGTGCGGCCCGCGGCGCCCCCTGGCTCTGTGCGCTCGGGACCGGCGCAGCCCGGGGCGAACGGGGCGCGGGCCGGGGAGGGGGAGCCGCCCGCGCGCCCCCTCCCCCTCCCCCTCCCGAGCGGGCGGCCGGGGGAGGGCGGCGGCTGCCCGTATATATCTCGGCGCGCCCCGCCAGGTCGCGCACAGCGCCCCGAGCCCGGCGCCTCCCCGCCCCCTCCCCGCGCCCCGCGGCGGCGGCGGCGGCGGCAGCAACATGGCTGTTGACGGGTGCTCGGGGTGGCGCTGGCGGCGGGAGGAGCTCCCCCGAGCCCCTGCGCCGGCCGCCCGTTGCTAGCTATGGCAAATGGTGGCGGCGGCGGCGGCGGCAGCAGCGGCGGCGGCGGCGGCGGCGGCGGCGGAGGCAGCGGTCTTAGAATGAGCAGCAATATCCACGCGAGCCATCTCAGCCTAGACGCGTCCTCCTCCTCCTCCTCTTCCTCCTCCTCTTCTTCCTCCTCCTCCTCTTCCTCCTCGTCCTCGGTCCACGAGCCCAAGATGGATGCGCTCATCATCCCGGTGACCATGGAGGTGCCGTGCGACAGCCGGGGCCAGCGCATGTGGTGGGCTTTCCTGGCCTCCTCCATGGTGACTTTCTTCGGGGGCCTCTTCATCATCTTGCTCTGGCGGACGCTCAAGTACCTGTGGACCGTCTGCTGCCACTGCGGGGGCAAGGCGAAGGTAACGCGCGCCGCTGCCCGGCGTCCGGCTCGCCCAGCCCCTGCTCCTCGCGGCGCCCGGCTCCCGCCATCCCCGCCGCCCGCCCTCGCCTCCGCGCGCCCCGCGCCCTCGGGTCGGGGCAGCGGGCGGCGCGCCGGGGGGCGCGGAGTTGCCCCCGACCGACCGGTGCGCTCCGGGACGCGAACGCCAGCTCCCGTCGCCTGGCTTTTTGTGGGCTCGGTGGCGGCAGCGGCCGGGGCCGGGAGAGCCAGCCCCGCGGGGACGGAGGAAGCTGGGGGCCGCTGGGTGCCCGTTCCGCACCGCGCGGGTGGGCTCTTGGCTGGTGGGCCGGGTCAGGGGGCAGCCTGTCAGCCGGCACTTGAGAAACCTGTTGGGCAGCTGAGTTCGTGGGGTCTGAAAGGAGGAGAATCCTTGCGCCAGGGCACCCCGGGGCAGGGATGTGGCCGGAGAAACGTGGGGGCGCTCAGGGGGGAAGAAGGAAAGTTGAGGCGACCCATCCCAGTGCTGGAGGTAACCCAGGAGTGCGGCGACGTCGCGGATGCGAGGTCGCTTCCCGCTCCGTCCCTCAGCTAGTCTCGCGGATCGTGCCCCCACGCCAAGTTTCTCCGAGGCCTGTGTGCTCTCGCCCCCAAGGCCACCCACTTTGGGTCCCCGGAAATGCCACCAGCGGCGCCCGGCTGGAGTGCGAGGTCCGCCCGCGCGGCGCGGCGGCCGGGGCCGCGGAGCCCCTTCCCGGGGCGAGCGGGAGGTGGCTGGCTGGCGGCTGGAGCTGTTGCTGGCGTGGGCGCCCACCCGCACCGGAGCTCCCTGCGCCTTAGATGTAGGGTTGCTAGGCGGAGAGGCTGGGCGCGAGCCGCGTCCCTGGAGACGTCCGCTCGCTGTCTCCCCCGGCTGCGGGAGGGCCGCAGGGGCAGAGTGGCACCGAAAACTGCAGAACGAAACAGGAGGAGCGGAGAACAGGAGAGAGTGCCGGCACTGCCTGCCTCCTGGGTGATTCCCGTCCTGGGAGGCATCCCGGCACCCCCGTTTCTCCGCAGATGCGCACACCTTTATTCTAATAGAGTGAATTCGGGGACCCCTGCGACTTGCTCGCGGGGCACAGCGACTCGTAGCAGCTTCGGCGACTGCTGGGTGGGGGAGAGAAACAGGACAGCTTGAGGGGGTGCTTAGGGGTGCACGCTGGGTGTAAAAACAAAGGGGAAGCCGAAGCTCGCTCTCCGGGTCATTAATTATACACGGTGCTGGGTGCCGGAGTTCAGCTGTGTTTTGTGGCAGCACATTCGTGTTTTGGAAAATACTGACGTGTTGGAATAAGGGAGAAATAGGCAGACCAAGAGGCCCCCGGGGTTGGCCGGCCAGCTTTGAAGGGAGTTCAAGTCTCAGCTGGGGTTTGCTTGCGAAGGAGGAACACCTCCCAGGGGCCGGCGAAGCCCCCCGCATTGAATGAAGTCCTGAGCACCAGGCTGTGCGACCCAGGCCCCTGCCAACACGCTGTTCCGGAGACCTTCTTATCCGCACTCTCCCCCTCCTCCACCTGCCCCCGCCAGCCTTGGGTCCTGCCCCTCGCCCCCGCCTTCCCAGAGCTTCAGTGTCTGTCCTTAGGTGAATCATAGCTCCTAGTTGCAGGCATCTAAAGTGTTCTCTGTTTGGAGTGATTTTGGTGAACTTTTTAACAGCCTATTTTTTATTTTATTTTATATTTTTTTCAGGAAGTGGGCAATTTGGGTCGTCATGCAAACTTTTTTTTTTTCAATGAGTCAAAATAAGTTGTGGTATTTTTGTGATGGCAGGATTTTAAGCCCTGCTTCTAAAACCGTTTTATTCCAAGGGGCACAGAGAGGCCCCTGCAGTGTCTGTAATGAAATACTCCCCAGACAGTTCACGGAAAGAATGTCCTCGGTGATGATCAAGCAAGCTTCTGGCGGCGTTCTCGAGAAAATAGGTGCTTTGGCAATTATTGTCAGGAGACACAATCTCCAAGTATTTGGCTGTGGCTGGTAGCTCTGAGCCCAGCTGGGTGAACCTAGCAGGAAGTTTCTGTAAGGAGTCGGTGCGGGATGAGGGATGGTGGTGGTGGGGAGGAGGGCTGTGAGGCCCATGTGGAATGACATCAGGATATTTCTGATACCATGAGTCCATTTAGAAGCACGCCCTGAATCTCTTAATACAGTTAAACCGTGTGTAGCCAGCTCATTATACCCAATAATGGCAAGTCAGGCCTTTTGTAAGCTCTGCCTTCTCCCCTTGGGGCCTGCGTTCTCAATCGTGTTCTTTTTGTCCTTTACTGCTTTTGCTTTCCAAGTATTTGGTAGTTTTGTTGAGACGAGCTTCTCGCTACAGAAGAATGTATTGGCTTAAGTTTTAGTGCTGGCTTTCCCGAGCAAACCTAGGCTGCATTCCACGGCATTCTCCCAGCCCTTGCACCCGTGGTTCACCTTCCCCTCACTCAGCCCCGAAAGGAGCTGCAGTCGGGAGGGAGGCAGGTTTTTTGTTTGTTTGTTTGTTTTTGCATTTGGAATTTCATGGAGAAATTTTGTCTCTGGGACTGCAGCTCCTTTTGGATCAAGGGCACCCAAGACTGTGGCCTTTGACCTGTGGATCTCATACAGCGAATGGCTTTAGCATTGTGGGAGTGTGCCATGTGCACTGTTTGAGAGAGTGCAGAAGGAAACTTCCTGCACTTGCCCGTGGGAACTTGGGCACAGTCATCCCGGTGCTGTGTTCTTTGCTGCACTTTTTCGCGTTGTTGGGTTTTCCCCCTCCTGGTAGATTTCTTCAGAGCTCCCTGTTCATTCAGCTGTGCCGCTCTGATGAGCAGAGAGCCACCCTGGCAGCCTGAGTAAGGTCATGACTTTGAAGCAGTCGTTCAGCCTCTCTGGTCTGCTTCCTTGTGTGTAGAATGCAGGGGCTGACTCCGCTGACTTGTGACAGCCTCCCCTGCCCTGTGATGCCACAGAGGAGAGCGGCAGCCGTGGAGGAACCCTGGGCCAGGTTCTAGCCTGGAGCGTGGTTTTTGCAATTCTCCTGCAGTTCTTTTAGGAATTCCAGCCTTGGAACACTTCGGTGCCTTTATTCCCTTCTTCTGCTCACCTTCCAGCACTGTCTGCTTCTCTTTAGATGGCTGGGGAAACTGAGGCTAGCTTGCTCATGGAGGTTGGCTGAGAGGCTTGGATGTGTTGGGCAGAGACTCACTTCTGTGCTCCGTCAGAGCTGTGTGTGTCCTTGTGGCCACTGGGCTTGGTCAAGGATGGCCTGGGCATAGCGTGTTAGTGAGGTGTTATCTCCGTGGCTGTGTCTCAGAAAACAGCACGTGCGCTCCATCAGGCTTGTGACTAAGAGAAGCATCAGATCCCGTGATGGCTTGGGGATTACCCAGGGTCTGGCCTGATGCATTCAATTAGGGGCAGTGCTTCAGCTCCTTGGGACTCTTAATTCCAGATTGGCCCCGTGCATCGTCTTGTCCTGAGATACCAGGACAGGGCTCAGCTGCACTGGATGACCTTCAGATACTGGCTTTTGATCGGATCACTTGGACGGGCGGTGGAGACATTCTTAGGTCCCCAGTCCCGGGAGGGGCCGGGGCGGGGGTTGGGGGAGAGCTGTGACTTCCCTAGGTCTTTGTCTAGTGAGCTTGCACTTCTCATTCCTGGCTCTCTTCATGGAGATGCACGTAGTACAGGCCCTGCGATCAGACAGACCCAAGTTCAAATCGTGGACCTCATGTGATGAGCAGTGCGTCTGGCTGGCAACTCTGCCCAGCCTTGATTTCCTTATCTTTGAGAAGAGCACCATGATGCTTGCTTTGCAGGGTTCTTGCAAGGCTTGGCAGTACCGGGTAGAGAGCGCCTGATGAAAGCCTGGGGCTGACAGGCCTCTTGTATGTGAGAGTGACTATAGCTTCCCTAGGTGATGAGTTAATGGCCCATGGAGGGGGACAGACTATGACAAACAGAGCATTGGAGCCAAAAGGATCTTGGAGTCTGCCGTGGTGGGTGGAGCAGCCAGGTGAGGTCGTACTGAGGTTTGGACTCAGGACTCTTGGCGCTGGCAAGGCCAGAAGTTTGGGGTGGGGCAGCCACGGTGGTTTCCACGGATGAAGACGTGGCAGCACGGCTCATGTTTTGATGGGGAGTATATCCGTGGGCAAGCAGTGACAGCATGCAGGGTCCAGGAGCTGCAGCACTGGCCAAAAGAAACCCCGTGGTGTTAGGTGGGTGGGTTGGGTTGTTGTTTTGGCCTTGAGGAGCGACAGATGGCATGCCTGTTACCCTAAGTCTGTGCTCACCCCCCAGTGTACCCCAAGTGATGAAGCAGTCTCTTGGCCAAGTGCTCTCCGCCCAGACCAGCTTTTCCTCGACCACCCCTAGGCTGGCGTTGCCCAGCGTGAGATCTGTAGAGCACTTGCCCTTGAGGTTACCTTGGGACGAAACATCAGCAGTCACGGCACAGCTGAGCCCGTCCCGGTGGAGGCTCCCGGCACACACAGTCCTGCGGGTGGAGATGCTGGTTACCCTGCCCTTGAGTGTACTCACCTTGGGCAGCCTTGCCCAGGGGTCGGGTCTGCTGTGCAGTGCCCAGGAGCCAGCCTGTGACCTTGGGCAAGGACTTTGCTGCTTTGTGTGTCCTCATCTCTGAATTGGCAAAGGCGATAGAGCGCGCAGTCCCCTCCCCAAGCCCGTGTTAGGTGTTTCCAAGGAGGATACTGAGCACCCTCGGCCTCCCTTTGCAAGCTTAGGGCTGGCCCTGCTTTCAGAGGACTGGACCAAGCATGCATCAGGTAGAAAGGAAGCTGCCTCAGCCTTTGGCCTGGGGGGAAAAGGTAGTCCAAAGCCAAGTCAAGGCCAACTCAGCCCTCTCTGCCTCCTTGCCATCTCCCCGCCCCCATATGGGGAGCAAACACTTGCTTTGGGGCTTTCTTCCTCACCTCCTCTCCCTGAGGCACAGAAGGCTGGCACTGGATTGCAGGGCCAGGACCTCCTTCCCAAAGTGGGCAGCAGGGG